CCTGGACAGTCCCAAATCCCCCTAACCTTGGAATCTTCTTTTTCCTTCCACCAGGCACTTTGAACTCCCTTGTGCAATGTGAGCAACAGCAGAAGTCTTAGCAGAGTTTCCCCCATAATAGTATTCTCAGTTCCTGCAGTCAAAAGATGCACAGGGTGGGGTGGGACTTCAGCCCGTGATAGTCCTTTACTTCTGCACATTGCAAACAAAGACTAGTGCAGTTGGCATGACTGTCTTTCTCCAGGGCAGGGCAGAGACACCATGAAGCAAACATTTACCTGCCTCTCCCCAGGATGCTAACTAGGAAAGCAGCTGCTGGTTGGCCATATTGGACTGGATCCAGAATAAAACAGTTGAGACGACCCACTGAAATTAGTAGGACAAATTGGAAGCAGTGACAGGATGTGATTCCGATGGGCTGCAAATGCAAACAACATGCAGTGTAATCCTCCGTATGCTTACTTGGAAGTAAATCTCAGTGTCCTCAATATAGTTTGTTTCCTGAACTGTTTGCTTAGAACAGCACCCTTAGCCTGGATATAACCAACTGTGCCTAATTAGTAAATTAGGGTTCTGCACAGTAGCTTTAAAATCATTCAGTTCCATGGCATCCTTTCTACACCATGCTTCTTCCAAGAAATCTCTGCCAATGGTGTAGTGGAGTTAGGGATCACAGCACGAAAGCATCTGGATGTTTTTTATTAGCAGGGATAATTATGTCAATCAAGCTTCTCTGTTCCCTTTGAACTCACTTTCCACTGTAGATGACAGTGGGGGGGGTGGGGGGTGGAATAGATTTTTCTGTAAATGATATATTGTTGTCAACTTACTGTCCTTATTATAGAGCAAAATATCCTGGTTTGGTCTTGAATTAGCAATTTTGACCCATTGGCTTTACAAAAGACCTGGCTTGTTGACATGGATCAGCACTTCTGCTTGTATATCTGGAATATAAAAATATAATTGTAAGGTCATGTGGACATGCAATGATAAACATCTGGATTTGCCACAATACTGCTGATCCCCACCCTCATACTTTCTAAAATAGCATGAGACATTTTCTAGGGTCAATATTTATTTATTTATTTATTTGATTTGTATCCCGCCCATCTGGTCTATGTGACCACTCTGAGTACTATTTTATGAGTACTCTCATTACAGTGTACAGTATTGAGGGGGGGCTGTCACGTTTTTCCTCTTTGAGAGTGAGATCTAAAAGTAGTTTTCAACTTGTGTGTTCTCTTTCCACCTGTCCCCCCAATTATTCTGGACATTGACTCCCTGAATCCCTGACCTTGGCCATACTGGCTGGGCCTAAAACATCTGGAGCTGATCCAACACACGTTGAGAGCTAAAGATTTTAAAAAAATCAATTTAGAACCAGCGACTGGAAATAATGAAGTAGAATTGTAATTTGTTGTGCTAATTTATTAAAACTTGCACCACTGCTTAAATGAGAGAGGAACATAACTGCTGCTTAATTTGACACTGACTGCTAATGTTTAATTTTTAAGCCATGAATTTTTTAGATATATACCGTACATGGTAAGTGGTGGAAGAAATCGTGCTATTTGCTATAATTTGTTTGGTGGGAGAAAATGAATAAAAAAAAATCAAATCCATAGTTTTCTAATGTTTAATTTAAGTTTCATTATCTAGAAGGGCCACATACATTTCCTGCTTTTAGTACATTTAAAATTGGATATTAGAATTGACAGCCTTACTCTGCCTGGTCTAATTCACAGGATGATGCTGGTTGTGAGGATAAAGTGAAGAGAGCCAAGCATGCTGTCCTGAACTTACTATCAGAAAATTAGGCCATAAATGTTAATAAGCAAACAAACACAGGAATAAGTGTCATTGAGCACAGTAGGCCTTACCTTTGAGAAGATTTCATATGGATTTGCACTATTGTCAGACTAATGCAATGCTATGAACACTTTCTAACTGAATCACAATGATTTTGTCTCAGTGCATGCACAGAGTATTAAAAAAAATGAAAGGCTGAAGATATGGCAGCTTCACATTATTTCAGGACTCTCTGCTGTTTTTAATTTGATTAAACAAACCATTAGGAAGATAAGATTGATGCAGAACACTGGCACAACCATATATATATATATATGGGAACACCCAGAATTGAACTTGGACCTTTGGCCAATACTGTATATGAAAAACATGCGCTCTACTCCTGATCTTTGCAGATCTTGATTATAAGTGAGTAAAAGAGTCAGAGGATACAGTTACTCAACAGTGCAGACAAATGTTCTCCACATGCTCAAAGATAATTAGAACATTTCTGATGAAGAATTTTGTTTTTTTGTAGTCACCAAAAAATGAGGAAACTCAGTGCATTACCTGGTTGATCCCATTGAGAGTAACAAGAGAGGTTTCCAGGAAACTCCAGGGCTTCAGAAAACACAAATTGAAAAACACGTGGTAATCACAATATGTATACACATGTGCATACAGAGAGGGAGGGAGAGAGAACCTTCTATTGGCTAATTTATTAAAATATGCACTGCTTGGGCTGTGCAACAGACCTATTTTTAAAACTACTTGATGAGGGCAGTGCTGCTCCCAGGATATGAGCAGATTAGTGAATCAAGTTTTAACAGCGATTGGAACCAGTCAAACCTCAAACTGCTTGAAAGATACAAGAGCTGCTCAGAGAGCTGAGCTTCAGAGCATATTAAACCGCCTGGCCTCCAATCTGCAATTCACAGTCCCTGCATTTAACTCCCTGCCTGTCAGTGTCAAGTATGAAGGTGGCTTCCAATAGTTTAGATGAGCATTTCATTCCAAAGGTAACACAAGCAAAAAATGGAAAGAGAGTTTCAGTACAACCCAAAAGAGACTAATACAAGGGGAGGAATCTGGAGAGGAAGAATGAGAGGGCCCTGTGAAGGACAGGCTATCTGGCAGCCCTGTGACATCTAGGCCACGATGAAGCACAATCCACGGAGACATTCTCATGCTGTCACCACAGCCGCAGCCCCCTTGAAATGAAAGGGAGCTGCGCAGGAGGGTGGAACATCAAAGCTTTGCTTTCTGTACAGCACGAAGAACAGGGAAGATGAAAGGAGCACAGTACACAAGAATCTTTTTCTTGCCACCTTCCTCACAATTTCAGGGGAGGGATGGAGGGGAGGCGACAGCAAAGCTCTCCTCCTGCCAGAGGAGACCTTCCCCCCCCCCCGCTCCCCGTAACCTTTCAATTCAGAACTGACTTATAGCAACCCTAATAGGGCTTTCAAGACAAGTGAGATACTTATGGAATGGTTTTGCAAGGTCCTTCCCTCAGTGAGTTTCCATGGCTGAGTGGGGAATCCAACCCTGTTCTCCAGAGTCCTAGTCTGTCACTCTATCCTCTACACACAGTGAACATCCCAGTACTTTTATTAGACCATTACTAATAAATGAACAAAAATCACAACCATTAGCTATGTAGTTTTTGACCCTGTACAGGTCTCATCAGTCTGGGTACTGCAGAGCTGTGGATCATGAGGAAAAACATTCAGGCTTCCAAAATCATGGGCAGATATGCTTGCCAGGTTCCTTTGTTCAAGTTCAGGTACAAAATGGGAGCTAACTATTCACATCAGAGAAGTAGGCTTCAGATTCCACCTTCTCATCACCCTAGAACTGAAACTCAAGGTTCCATTTTGGCTGGGGATAGAAGAACATAGAAATTCAGATTGTGTACAAAGATCAGATGGCTCCCACATCACTTTTTATTGCACCATGGAAGATACTTTGAACAGCTCACCCAGACACCATCTACAACCAAACACAGACGTTAACATTGCCCAAGCGGGACTGCGAAATGAGGACAATTACTAGCTAACAGGGTTCATTTGATTGCAATTGACTAAATGTTATTCCAACTTCTCCAATACGAGAGCTGCCTCCTTAATAGCCACCTGCCTAAAGGATAAAAAGGGGAATACATTTTTACATCTATATGCCAGCTGGGTAGTTATATCATATGGGTTAGACCCCAAACATACCTAGGAAGTTATACCATCTTACTACTGCCTCTCTTTGCCTAACTTGGAAGATGCGCAGTTCGTTTTCATTTGCTTTTAATCTAGCACATTTCTTACTCACTGTTCATCTGGGGGCGCTGGCTGATTTATAGTGCACAAGGAGCAACAATTTTGTGTTAAGAATGAAGTTCATTGCACAGCTGTTGTTTCTGATAGTCTAGGGATATATCTAAATTTAAAAGCATAAAGATTTCAATAGTGTATTGATTCCACCATTACTGCCTTACAGTACAGACAGGTTTCTGTGCAGCTTTACAAGAAGTCCATCAGGCGTATTCCTGCCATCTTATGTGGCTAGAATATCTACGAGAAGCCATATAGCTGAAGTATAAAACTAGGGTAGAGTATGAAATTAGAACTGCTGCTAGCCACTGCATCTCAACTAGTGTCAGACAGTTTTTTTTAATAAAACAACAATAGCAGCACTGCTGATATAATAGAACATGTCCTGATTTACACTAAAAATGGAAGGGAACAACTGCAACAGCTTCAGCACTAATGGCATCCAAGCCAAACAGGTCAGATAGTGAACTTAAGCTGTATTTTGCCAGTTTAAGTACAGTATAAATGTCACATTTGGCCCAGTTATCTTACAAAGGCTGAAAGTGTCTTTTTTTAGGCCACCAACTCTCAAAATGGCTAGAAATCTATTTTCTTTTTTAAAAAAATGATCTGTTATGGTAGGATGCTAAAGATTCTTGCTTTCCTTACACTACACAGTTTGGCCACCCACCAAATATGGCATATCCTCCCAATCTTTCTGCTGTCTCTCACTACCATTTCATGCCACAGGGAATTTATAGCTTCACACATCTCCTTCGCTCCTGTTTTCCCCACAAAGGAAACCATCTCTAGTACTATAGGGTGAACAACAGATGTGGGTCTCCAAACCATCTGACACAAAAGGAAATGACAACACAAACTTCTGTAGATATGTCCATAGATTTATTTTTAATTGCTTTATATATCTGTACTATTTTTAAAAACAATCCACCCAACACACTCACACACGCCCCTCCTCCTCCAGTGATCCCAACAAAGCAAGAAACTGAGATGTTAAGCTGTGTCCCAGTGCGGATGTCCCAGGATCCATTCACAAAACGAAAATGGCTACTAGGTGCCAGATTCATTTCCACCTAGGCTTCCACAAGACTCTGTTGGTGCAAATGTCATTGAAACAGAGGTCATTTTATGGCTCTTTAAGATGCATCCAAGAGAACTGGGAGGGAGGGAGAGACCGAAGGCAAAGCAAAGAATTTGGCGATAATTGAAACAGGAAAAATATGAAAAGAATCACTGGAGAACAATATAAAGAAAAAGTGTAATGTGACATACCAGAAGAGAAGAAAAATGGAAAATAAAAGAATAATGAGAGAGAGAGAGAGAGAGAGAGAGAAATGGTGGGGAGGGAGATTGCACAAAAGGAAATCCAGGTTGGAGAAGAAAGCACCACACACAGGACACATGTTCATCCTTCCCAGCCAACAATCCTGCTAGTTCGATTTAGACCAGATCTTTGCACTGCCTCGGAGCCTGCAGAGAAAGAAAAGGTCTCAGCATGAGTACCCGTGGGATCTTTGCCTGACTCCCAAACAGAGATTCATAGATCACTGCCCCAAGCTAAGGAGTTGAGCTGCAGGTGAAAAACTAAGGGTAGGGATTGGTCTGCTCTTCTATCCCACATGTAGAGGCTACAGCCAGCCTTGATTGGGATTCCACCTCACCCTTTGCCCTTGGAAGCCTTTTTGCTGGCCTGGCGCTGGTTGGTACCCTGAGCGGGCTCCCGGAGTTCAGACAGATGCTGCTCTGAATCCTGGGATGTTGCAGCAGCAGCTGCTGCTGTCGTCACTTTTATTGTCTTCTTCAGATTTGCTACCTGCTGGTGCAAAAAAGGAGGGAGAAGAAAAATAAGGAGAACAAAATTAAAGTATCAAAAGAAGACAGATTTCACTAATTTACAAAGAAATCAACACTAATATTAGAAAGATCTCCCCAAGTGCCTTCTTTCCACTCATACGAAGGTATTTGCTTTGAAATACCCATTTAGAAGGCTTTTGCCTCTCTGAAGGTCTGGCAAATGTCCTGACTTTCCTATTTAGTCCAACATTGTTTATTTTTGGGGTGATGGGGTCAAGGATTTACCTCACCACTTGCTGAATGACTGACCAAATCTACTTATGAGGTGGCAAGACACAGATATCCAGCACCTAGTAGGCATCCTTCAGTCTCGAGAGACTATGGTAACGTGCTCTGAATAGAGGTCTTGGAACAACGTCTAGTGCGGCTGAGAAGGCCAATTCGAGAGTGACAATCCCTTCCACACTGAAGACAAATACAATCTGTCCCCTGTCCAGCTCCCTGATTTTGCTGGTTTTGGGACTGCCTTTTTGCCTCGGCCTGCTGGACAAGTGCCTCTTCAAATTGGGAGAGGCCATTGCACCGCCTGCCTCCAGGCTGAACACTCAGATGTCAAGGTTTCCCATCTGTTGAGGTCCATTCCTAAGGCCTTCAGATCTCACTTGCAGATATCCTTGTATTGCAGTTGTGGTCTCCCTCTGGGGCACTTTCCCTGCACTAATTCTCCATACAGGAGATCTTTTGGATCTCCTGTATGGAGATCCAGTACCACAAAAAGAGAAGAGAAAAAAAAAGAAATATAAAGATAAAAACATTGCAGCATCTTAAAAACTTTGTATACTTTAATGTGAATTTTTGTAGATCAAGTCTACTTCTTCAGACATTAAAGCAGGACTATATGGCTAACAGATTTATGCATGGCCCCATGATCAAGTGGGGATGTAGATAATGGACAAAGTGACAATGGTTTGTTAGTAAACTAAGCTGTTTTAGGACTACTAAATAATTTGAAGTAGCAGCTACGGGATATGAATCTACAAGGTAACAATACAAGTAGTAAACACAAATAGTAAATTGTGAGAATCTGTGTAGGGTCTCACACTTGGTAATGAGCTCAGAATCCTTGGTTGATATTTAATCCTTTGGCTGACCGACAATTTGTGTGTCTTATCAGCTGTTTCTCTTCCAAATCTTGTTCTGCATCTTTTCTCCCCCGCCCTCTCAACAGTCACTTTTAGGTCATTCAAAAAGTGTTCAGAAAGAATGAAATGTTCTGAAGCAGGTTTTCATGTGTTGCCATTCCTAATGTCAGATTTATATCCATTAATTCCCTTGTGTAGGGACTGTCTCGTCTGCCGTATGTAGACTGCAGAAGGGCACTTTTGGCAAACGATGGCACAGATCACGTTAGCAGAAAAACAAGTAAACAAGCCCATCATGTTGTGGGTGACATTGTTGGGGCCTGTAACTGTGCTGCCAGAGTAGATGTGGGAAAAGAGCTGGCCTCTGGGTTTGTAGCAGAGTCTAGTTCCCATCTCTCTATTAGGGTTGTATGGTCTCTTGTGTTTCAATAGTTGTTTCAGAATGTGGGGTTGTGATCTACCTAGGACAAATAGGACAATCTGTATACAGTCTCTTACTTACAAATACATTATTGTTAAATCATAACATTTATATTCTGACTTTTCTCCAATGAGCTCAAAGCAGCATATGTGATTCTCTTTTCCATTTTAAACTCACGACAACACTGAGAGATAGCTCAGGATGACAGAGTACGACCAGCTAAAGGTCACTCTGCAAATTTCACAACTGGATGAGGATTTGAACCCAGGTCTCCTAAGTCCTAGTCCAAACTGTTCATTGTAACACCATACTGGCTCCCAATGTAATCACTACAGGTGAACTGATTGGTGTTTTGGGACTTTAACTCCCAGAATTCCCCAGACAACATGGCTGCCTGGGGAATTCTGGGAGCTACAGAACAAAAACACAAATCTGCATACTTCTTCCAGTAGTGACAGAACACATTCCTTTCTTCCCCAAATTTCAGTAACCAAAGGAAACTTTTCAATGTGTGACTTAAGACTGGAGATGTATGCTTCTTACACCTGAGATGTTTCACCTTCCAAGTTTGTAAAGGTCATACAACTCACATCAAAACGACTTCCATCCCCACCCACTAAGCGATTCCACATGCTTGTGTACTGAATGGAAAGAACCAGTGCAGAGTAGCAGTGCTTGTGGAGATGCAGCAGACACTTCATCTCACAGTGGATAATTTTGCATGAGAAATGACTTGATGATAAATCACATAGAGGGCAGAATTCCTTAGTTCCAAGGGAGACTAATTAGGAGAAGGTGAGGTCAGAGCAATAAATCACCCAGAAATGCAGCAGGAAGCCTACTGTATGTGCTTAGGGGGGATATTTTAGTCTCACAGGGCCTTTATTTAATCCATCAATGTCTTTTGGCACATGCTTTGTAAAGTACAGGTTTATATTATTGCTAGTTGTTAGCACCAACTTTGGGGTAAGCAGAGAATTTGCTAACATCAGTTTATGCATCTCCCTTAAAGGTAAATGTTGACAGCTTGGGGGGGGGCACTCTCCAAGCCAGTCTTGCTGTGGGATGTGCCGGGCCATCTCTGTAGTGTTCTATCAACCCTGCATCCTCTAGAAAGCTGCCATCCATAATCCTTCTGACAGTGTTATCTACACTGACTAGCAGTGGCTCACCAATATTTCATAAAGGAAGTCTTTCCCAGTCCATCTGAAAATGCCAAGGATTTAATCTGGGTGTTTTTGGATACCCATTGCATGCCACGATGTCTTGGACAAAAAGGGGCTGGTTACAGCTGTCCATGAACTAATGATATCTAAGCTGGATTTCTGTAATGTTTCTATGCAAGGTCAATTTTAAAAATGAAATCAGACACTACTACTGGTATAGACTTTAGTAACTAGATTGCTAGTTGACCCTATTACTAGCCTGTAGGTAGACTACAAGAAGATATGTTGACAATACTAAGAGCACTTAAGAGGCTACTATTTTACTTCTCTGATCAATTTTTAAAACTTGCCTTATTTTTTAAAACTCTGTTTCAGGGTAGGGCAAACCTAAGGGCCAGTATCCTAATGTTGCCCCCCAACTAGAGTAGATCTATTGATTCAGTAGCATTTACATAAGTGTTGACTCATCATTCAGCAATTGATTCAATGGGTCTTACTACTTAGCTGGGGCTAACCTTCAGGTACTTGTCCCACACAACCTCACAATTTTTTTTTCAAACCAGAAAAGGCCCCCATGCATGCTGCCGTTGTTATATGGGGTCAAGTCACTTCCATGTTAAGGCAACTCTAATAGTGTTTTAAAGGTATGTGAAATGTTCAAGGGATGGTTCACTGCTGCCACCACCCACCCCAACTGAGTTTTCATGGCCAGACAGGAATTCGAACCAAGGTCTCTTGAGCCCTAGTCAACATTCCCTCTAACTTTCCAGAGTGCTGGGCAGAGTCCCCCACCCCATGTGTGCAGGGCTCCAGATGCATCCAGAAGCAAATGGGTGACAACACTAGCTAGGCTGTGCACCCCCAATACAGCTCTGTGCAGCCACACAGCTTAGAGGGAATGCAGGCCCTAGTCTTTAATTCTGTCCACTGGCTCTTACACCCTGTAGTAGTCAAATATATAAATAAAAATTAGGTTGCTGGTAGATCTTCAAGACATAGCAAAATTGTCCCCATTTCCCCCAGAAATGCAAGGGGAATTTCTGAGCCAATTCCTAATTTTTTAATTATGTGATCTGAATCCTAAGATTCTGAAAGGCAGTCTCATTCCACATGAAATCTATCCACAAGTTAAGATCAGCCTCCCACTATATATGTTCCCTATTATAATATTAGGTGAAAGAAGTCTGGCAGTACCACCCAAATCATGAAACTTCTTTCTCTTCCATTAGAGTTGGGCCGTTTATGACCCAACAAATGTTGTTGAACAGCAGCTTCCAATGTCCCTGGGAATTGGCGTGTAGTAACATCTGGAGGGCATCTTCAGTATCTTTCAAACATCGACTGATCTTCTATGCCTTTTACAACATCTAGGGCTCTAACTTTCTTTTTATTGCTTATTGATGTTTCCCTTGTTTTGTTTGCTTATTTTTAATTGGCTGCTTTTATTGTTTTATCTGGTGTTTTACAGGGCTTTTAAAATATCTGTTTCCCTTTTTCTTTTTAAACTCTTTTTACTGTAAACTGGCATTGGGCTATTTGGTGAAAAGTGGGAAAATGTCCTATAAAGAAATATCTGATATATTCCAAGTCATATTCCCAAAGAGGAAACATAAGTATGAAGGCATAGCAAAGACTGATTATTCAGTTAGGGGTAAGAAAGAGTTTTTTAATTACCGTATTTTTCGCTCCATAAGACGCACCAAATTTTTAAGAGAAAACAGGAAAAAAATAATGTTTTTTTCTAAAAATTGGTGAGCCTTATGGAGAGGTCCATCCTATGGAACACACCCTAGGACCCTTTGGAGGCTCACCCAGCCCCCCCCCTGGAGGCCAGAGGGGGAGAAATCACCACCTTCTGGGAGTCT